GTAGACCTTGATAGAGAAACTAAGGTGAGAGATTAGGCGATAGTGGACAAGACTGTACCGGTTGCACTGTAGGTCTTGATAGCACAGAGTGAGTGAGATTCTTAACTTCGATCCTCTCAATTTTTCTCAGTGTTACCTCAGTGCTGATTATTCATGTTACGCCACTTTACACTGCATTGCTTAGCAGGATGTTATTCAAATGCATCAAGAAGGAACATGTAAATCATATTTTTCATTCTATTATGAGAGTGGGGAAATGATAAAGACTAGTGCTCTTGCTTACATTAAAACACATTTGTTGCGTAAATTTGCAAGCATTTCAAAATATTTGGAGAGGAGGGTTTTTGGTGAATACAGTCTGAATTGGTAGCCCCGAATGTCACATATATGTGACGCCAGGCTCATCATTAACGCATTAGTGGACTAGGCAATTGTGAGAACAGAGAATGGAAATGAGTAATGGGGTGAAGAATGCCTACCATTTCACTGATCCATCTCAAACAGTACGATCTGCTGCATCCAATTCGTCACCATCTCTCCATTAACGTCCCACAATTGGCTCGGCACTATCATTTGATAAACATGAACATACCTATTATACCTTTCAGTTGACCTCAAGTTCTTTGCATTCCATTAGGAGAGTAGTATCCTGATCCAATCCTGCGCCAAGTGGAAGTCCATCCATGACTACGTATTCATTGCCTACGTTCTTCCCTGCCCACCTCCACAGCAAACTGACTATCATGCGTGACTTCTAGATGCCTTCTTTTGCAACTCTATGAAGCTTGACAGCTCACATGCTAATTGCTTTTTCTTTTCATGAAAGCCTTGGTTGTCTATTGCACTCCAAGCAGAGGACATCCACTAGGCAATCTGGAAATAGATAGTAGATTCCGACAAGGCTGCCTGTTGCGAAGAAGCATTACAGTCTGCCCTAGGAACGAAGAATGCCTACTGTGGAATAACGCTAATGATGCCTTCACTAACATCGTGGAAGCATTGAAGCCATATGAAGAGGAACTCCACCTTGTGGCAGGCGATTGCAATGTCGTCCATGACTCTCAAGAGGTGGCCAATGGCACCACTAATTCTAGCCGACTCCCGGTAGCTTCCGTGCGTGAGGGTTGTGAGGTTGTGCGTTCTCTCTCTTCCTGTTGCTCATTCATCCCTCTAGATGCTGCTCAGGGAGTAGCTTTAAGCTTTTACTGGTGCAAACACTTTCGTATGATAAATGCGCGAAGGTAGAGTAGCCTACATAAAGGAGTCTGGCTTCGTGATAGAGATCAAAAGGGTGTCACGTAGATCATCTACTCTAGGATTTTGATACACTGCAACTCATTCTTGCTCCACACCATGAATAATAATGTTGGTAGAGAAATCGGTAGGGGGATTGGTGACCGTCAGAGACTGCTTTCTGTTTGTGGTTATAGTAATCCAAAAGGCAAGGCCGACGTCCGCTCACTTTTACTTGGCAGGCACAGAGGTTGCCGAATATGCAGTCGAAATCGTGCTGCGGTATACGTCGTCCAAAGGTGTTCTCCATGAAAAACCAAGACAGGCGACCAAATGAGCCATTTTTGAGACCATACTGACCTCATATTCGTCGTCATCAAAAGCGACTTCATCACCGTGCGCAGAAAACTTGCTCATTTCGAAAAGGACTGGACAGAGATAGGATGGGGAAAGAATTGGCAGCATCTTATCGATGCAAACCGTGTCAAAAAGTAGGAAGATAAAAATCGTAATTCTTTCACTATGTTCCGGATACGTAGGTGCATACGACGTGGCCGCATTGTGCACAGGGGATGTTCGAGTCGAAAAGGCAAGAGGATATTAACTAGTGCTGCAGTGGCATTGCCACATGCCGTGGATCAAGCCTTGCCGCAAACTAGTTGCTACAATGGTGAGTGGGTAACAGTGATGGTGGATGAGTACACGCAGCAACGTGGAGTAATGAATGAAGTGTCTCGCCAATGTTGGCAGGAAAGCAGAATTAGTGGTGCAAAGGTATGAAGGACATACGACATGTCTAGACATCGATGAAGATAGTAGCCGCTGTGGTTCTTGCGAACCTCCCTACGGCAAGCAAAACATTTTCTTGACACTGTGTCAACCTGCCATGAGGCAATTCAAGAGGCTCGAGTCCTTCTGCAAGAGTCGCGGGCACTTAACGCATGTAACGGACTTTATCAATCCAGGGCTTCTGGAGTAAATTCACTACTCCAGGTCTCATCTAGACTACTTTTCAGGGTGTTAAGTTGAAAGTGAAGAAATTGTGAAAGTAGGAACAGCTCTCATTGAATTACTGTAGTAGTATTTACTACTTCATCTGTCCCAGTGGAACGTTAAATTGTCCTTCAAACCCTCGAAACGGAGGAGTCATGGAAGTAGTAGTTAAGATACCAATTGTCTTCCCAAGAACGTACAAGTGCCTGAAAAGGAAGTCAAGTTGATACCTGACCGTCATGAATGTTGGACGCCGATCTGAGATGATGACCATGCAACTAAATGCAAAGCAATGCAGCTCGGTAAGGACACAGCCTCATCTCTCCTAACCGCGCATCAAAGAGCAGTCAACTCGTTAGGAAATTGGAAAATGGGACAGCGGGTTGGTCCAGTGGTAATGTCAAGTGGCAGAAAGTGATTGTCCTACGTGCCTTCCACTTCGATAAAGACAAAACTCGATTCTTTTTCCATTTTCTTGCCAGAAAATGCGAATCCGTTTGGATTATTTTCCATACCCTTCCGAAAAATGCTCTCTTGTTTAAATATCTTGATGCATCTTTCCTGTTTTTCTAAAATGCAATTAAAATGAAGCATAATACGCAACAGCATACGGTTTACTGGAAAATGTTCAGGAATTGGAAGTTGGAGAGGTTGGGAAAATAACAGGCATTCTGCTCTTTTTAGTACTCAGATGTGTTTTGTGACCTGGAAGTGGGGATGGTAGAGCTTCTAGCTGTTAACCTAATGGTTGGGGAGTCGTTGGCTCTAAGATTACCTACACTTTCATACAAGAAATACTTAGAAAATTGATGATGTATTTGCCACCGAAATAGCACATACGCTACATTAAAACTGACTACCTTTTCTTAGAGTCACAGATGTGTGACGCAGTGTTCTTCATTAGTTAACGGTAAGTGATTGTGCTAGGTCGTGTTGGATAGTGATAAATGGCAATGGTTCTATTAATTCATTCCTTCACCTTGGATTCATCAATCTATCCAACATCTTGTCAGCTATTTATTTACCCATGACTGTCGAGTACTAGTATGCTCTCCTTCATCTGCCTCCATACAATCACCCATTTGGGAGCCATTCATATCCTTACCACAGATTAGCCAGTCTACTTGTTCATTGGCCGCACAATCACTAATCCAATGTGCATACCTCTAGGATCCATAGCTTCATCCATTTCGTATCTTTTTCCCAGCTTCCACTCATTCTGTATTCATCCCTCTAATCGTCTCTCGTAAAAATTTAGACTGCTTATCTTACCTTTAGACCACCACCATAGACTTTCAAATTTAGGACGTGCTGTGTTCCCGAAACAACATCCTGTAAGGAAGGGATTGTATATTACAATCCCAAAGTCTCTCCTTCAACCCGTTGATGATGCATAAGTGAAGGCACCTCGCTGGTACTTCTGACGATAGAGATAAGTAAATGAAAGCTGAGCTTATAAGAGATCTTTGCTAGATGACTACTTGTAGTTTGTGCGGTCACACAAACTGGGGTATCGGGTATCTTGGAGTTGCATTCCCGTGAATCCCGCAATTTTAGTCACTTTGCACATTTTCTTGGTGCTCTCTGATTTGAGACAAGTGATTCTTTTATAATTTAGACTCGTGTAATCTGAGTGTGGGAGGGTGTTAAATGCCTTGGAGCAGGGAGTTATAAGACTGCATCGACTTAATCAAATAATTTACAAATGGTTAAACATTTTGTTGGATTTTAAACCCACCGGAGGAAAATCCTTTTCCCTCCCCGATTTCTGTTTTTTCACTCACACTATCCGAATCCGGCGTATCCCTTAAGGCTATTCAGCTTAAGCAACCGACAAAATTCCCACAAAAAGTCTCTAAGACTGCATCCTTATAAACAAACGGTTTTTCTCGTGGATCATATCTAATACAATCCTCTTTGGATTCCTCAGATTCTGTTACTTCTTTGTGTTTAATGAAGAATTGAATGGAAACGCATTATGCCTTAGAGATTACCCACCACTTCATTAGGCGGGTTAGCTGCATTCGCGTTATCACCGTTGATCCACGAACGTCCCACAAACCAATTCTTTGCTCTCATCAAGGGTTGGCTTGGCACAGCCATTTGTATGAGCCAGACGGGTAATCATCGGTGTCTTGAGGCCTCTGCTGAGAACTCTGCCATCGTCGTTCACAAAAGGTACCACCGAATCCCACAAGTCAGGGTAAAATCTGTGCCATTGAGCAGAGATCAAGAATTCCCTATTCAGGATGTAAATTTAAAGTAAACATGAATTCTTCCTGCAGCACAATTCTCAAGCGCGTTGAACTGCAAGAGTTTGAGCCCAGATCGACGCCATCTACGCTGTCGTCTCAAGACCGCATTCATCACAAACACGTTTTTAGATTTTCATCTTTGTGGCAAGGACTACCCCAGAACATTATATGCATCAAAGTTCTCTGACAAGTCCCCGACGGGTAGCACGTGATCCATGTAAAGATAGGCCCTTTTGAGAAATTACGAGGACCAAGCATTAAGCCATAAAATATATCTATGACGTGTCAGAACAAGTGAAGCCTCTGGAGCCAGATGAAAATAAAGAGGCACGTAAGACAAATAACGCCATCCAAATTGCAATCGTCATCAGGGAAGACTGACCAAGCAGCAGATAAGATAGTGTTAAATATGTTGAATTATAAAAAGCTGAGTGGATATTTTGCATTGATTTGTCCATCACTCATAGCAAATAATGCGGTCATATCCTCGACCTCGAATTAATGCCTTTCAAGCAGAAAATGGGGTTTTTTAATTGTGCCCGCCTCCTTCCACCTACAGATGAGCGAGAAAGTGTGCAGCAGCCAATGGCAGAGCGAATTGTGAGTTCATTGATTTATCGACTTATTGGAAATTGATTTGCCACACGACGTTAAGGTTGCGTTCGCGCTCGCGTCTGTTTAACTGCGGTGGTTCGCGGGCTGGGAGACGAAATCAGAGCTGAGGAGTGCGACTCGCTTCAACACTTCACACGCTCATCTTGGCAGATACACCAAGAAAGTTTCCCTTCATCGCCGCAAATGGCTAGCAGCAGTTCCTTTTTCATCGAGATAGTGAGGGAAAACCCCATCCGGAACCAAAATCGTACTGCGAAAGGTGGGCTTTGCTACTTTTTATAGTGCCATCAACAAACCCATAGATGATTACTTAAAATAAAGTTAAACTTTTAGAGTTATGAAAAGTTTATTTAAACAAATATATAGTGCAATACTTTAAGAAAGAAATCCGCGCCTTTTGAGCGTTTCTTCTATGTAGAAATTTTTATTTACGCACTTAAAAGCATCTAAATACCAGTGTATTTTTAACCCATATTCAAAAAATTTGATATATTTGTAAGATTTTCCTACTTTTGAAGCTAAGAAGTAGGATTATGAATTTTTGGCCATAAAGGAGTAGAATGTCAGCCCATTACAGCTCTGTTTTCTTGTGCTTGTCTATTCAATTCACTATAAGGATGCCCTTCTGGTCATCCCCTCCGAGCCCTAGCAGAGGCCACCCAAGGAAGGGAAAATCTCACAACCTTTTCTATAAGCCTCACGTGTGTGGAAAGAATCACTTGCCATGGAGAGTAGTTTTTGCCATTTCTGTCGAAACATTACATTGGCTAAGAATTGTGCTGTGATTGCACAGAAGTAACTTTGTCCTATCACTGACAGTCTGGCTCCTACATCATGGGTGAAGATGTATATCCAGATGGGAGTGCCATTTGTCGAAGACTATGTCAGGGTAATGAAGAATTTCTTATTTATGTGGATCTTTCTTACGTGGTATGCATTGGTTTGCAGGACGTAAATTTACCAACCAGTTTAATCGCTCCCTGCCGCACCCAAACGGCTTCTCCTTTTGACTTACGCTTAGGTCAGCAGTGTTCAATTTTATCAACGGAATCTCTTTGTGTACAAAAAGTAGGATTTTTATAACTATTTTGGCAATTTATCACTGTGTACAAATGCTGTCTCAGATGAACTGTCACTGGTAGAGACGAGACGTTTAAAAACCCCTTAGTAAACCATAAATATCTGTAATAACCAGTCAGCGGTCAGCGTACAGGTAGGTTTAATGATCGAACAAGATCAATTAGAACTAAGAAGCAGGACTTCTTTCTTTGGAAACGTATAAGCCTTGGGTAAAGTTCCTTTTAAATGATAAACATTGTATATTCAGTCACATGTACCCATTGCATTATAGGCAAGACAGAGGTTTCTACTTGCGAAAATTTGCTTGACGAGTATATTGAAGGAGAATCTGGCACAGAGGAGGTAAATTTGTATAATGTTTTAATTTATCACTGCTTTGTTTTAAACTAAAAAATATCCCATGTTGTTGTACTTGAACTCCCTAGTGTCCTTCCTTCGAGGTGCAACGGGATAATGAATTGACACGGAAATACAGCGTTACATTTCCCTTTGATTGCAGCGTCACTACGTTTCACCGTGCCATAATTGTCGACTGGATGACTATGGTAGGAATGAGGCAATAATGCTCTTATGCAAAGTTTGGGCTAAGATGTCAAAAATAGTTTTATATTCTTTTCATTCTTCTTCTTTATCTCAGTTGCAAGCCTACTTGAAAATCGACACAAAGGGTTTGCACATGGCTGTATGGCTTATGGATCACTACCCGTGGCGTGAAAATGCAACTATGGGAAATTATGTGGTGACAGCACTGGCAGCTCTCATGGTGGGCGACAGAATCACCACGACCAGAAGTGAAGACGGATGCGATAACATGCGCCGCGATCTGGTCGCTTTCTCTGACAACCGCTATTGCGTAGAATTGGTTAGCTTGTGCATTTCCGATTTGGCATCTGCCTCCTGCCGTCAGTTCTACTTTCGATGATTCAGTTATACCCTTTAGATTGTGGAGAATGAAACATCTATGCTGAATTTGTTCTGCTGTGACCTGCCATTGCCCACTCCGCATACCTTTCTCAAACGCTGCATACAGGCCATGGATGATGTCGCTCAAATATTTGATTTGCAACGGGTAAATTTTACATTCATACGCTTTCCTATAAAGCACCTCCCTTATCACTAGTTACCTTTTGGATTTAGGCTGCAGCCCTGTGCCTGTACTGCTTCGATCTGGGTCTACTAAACTGCAAATTAGTACAATACTCTGCAAGCCTGAAGTGCTCTGCAGTGGTGCTTCTCCTCCGACGACTTATAAAAGGATCTTGTATCTGTTCGAGGGAGGAGACCAACGATCCCTGCAACTGCTGTCAGTTCCACCAACTGTGTGAATGGACGGAAGAACTGAAACAGACAATGGATCAAGAGTGGAATGAAGAGCTTTATTTTGTTTCGGATATCTACGCAGGACTATTGAAAGAAGCCAAATGCTTCAATAATCATTGCAAAACAAAAATGATTAAGGGTTGCGCTCCAGCTTTTGAGGTAGGATTGAATTGAAACCATCTTATCGAGATAGTGTATATACCACAAAATGAGTTAATCAGCCGATCACTTTTGAGCTCAAATATTGTTCATAATTCATCACGAGGCAGTGCCTTATTACTAGGTTATAGTCCAGTAAACTCTGAAATTGGGTACCGATTGTTTAGTTGACTTGGCTTTACGTCACCTTGACCTTGATGAAGCTAAACTAGGACAAGCTGTCATGGCTTCTAAAGCGTTCATGCGATGTAAAATTTTGTCTGATAGCTGGGACAATATGGGCACGCTAAATCAAAGGGAAGACATGTCGGTTTTTTAAAGAATTAAATATGCCCTAACAGTCTGTATTCTTGGAACTTTCTAGGCAGCTTACATTAAGCACAACAAAAGGGTCTACATGAACATACCAATAAGCGGGATCTTGGTAAACACCAACTTCAGTGAAATTTGAAGGGCTTCTGCTTCCCTTCACACCTTTCCACCCCCCCATTTTAATGGTAGCATAACGGTACTGCAGCTGATGTGGGTAAAAAGTAAACACTTTGCAATTATGTCCACCAAAAGTGAAATTAACTTCTGACTTTGAATGGAGGCCTCCAGTGAAAGGATGCATGCATTCTTTCATTTCTAAATAAATTAAATTTTTTTTCACTTTTTGATTTTTCACCAATTTGGAGGTAGACGTCGAAGATACACAACTGTAAGCATCTCCACTTGTATCATTTAGTGTTACTTTATAGCGCTGAGCTCAATCCATCCACCAAGAAGAGTTGTTAAGTTTCCCAGTAAAGAAAAGTACTTCATCATTTGCATATTGGAAGACTGGCTACTTCAAGTTAAGTTAGAAGGCTATGGCGCCAAAGCCACGATGACCGAAGAATTCGCGTGGCTAAAGTCGCCATTCCAATAAACATTGCATTTCCACTAAGCTCTTGTCCTCTAGCGTTTTCTAACCAACCTTTTACATCAAATATCTCCACTTAGCCACCACTGCGAGAACCATCCACTAGCCAGGACCGACAACCATTAATTCTTAAAGGGCTCAGGGGGCATCACACCTATACATCAGCCATGTACCCCATTGGTTTCACAGCACTCTAGGTGTAAGATGAGATTGCTGCATTTTTGAGCAAACGACGCCATTAACCAAAAGTGCCTTTATCTCGGTAGTGTACAGCCTTTAGCCTCTCTCGCTGCAAGTCTTATTTTCCTTCTGTACAACCACTTATTAGGCTTCCACATAGCCATTGGAAAAGTTAACGATTTCGCATTTATTTATTTTTCTCATACATTTATATAAGTGTTATTGATTTTTTATAATGAATGATTGAAACGTGAGACCTCGGTATAAGTTAGGCTGTGAGCCACCCTTTTGTGAATGACGAAATTAGAGCGGTAGGAAAAAAAAGATTGGTGCAAATCTCTGCTGGAAGACCATTGATTGAAGGTTTGAGGTCTGACGAGGACTTTGGACTTTTGTTGCAATGGGACGGGGTTTGCATACACCCACCACAAACACTGGAAGCGGGATGTTTGCGTTTTACTCACTGCAGACTGCTCTTGTCTTGCATGACAGAAGGCAAAATATGACAAAAATTAGGAGATTCTAATACATTTTCCTGAGTGCAAACTTTGTTTAAAAGCCTGCATATCCACAGCCACACAACACTACTTATATGCTAAATGAGTAGCATTACTCACCAGGCCAAAAATGTCTAATTTTAGCTTGCAGTAGCTGACATCAGACTTCTCGGGAATTTGAAGCTAACAACGAAACTGTAAAAAATTAATAATAACATTTATCGAGCAAATATGGAAATTCGCCTCCTTGCTAGATAATAATCCAAGAAGTATATTGAATCGCCTTAACTGCTGAAATGAGTGATGTCTTCATAAATGCAACTTCATCCACCTCTCCCAACTTATCCAAGAAAGTATTCGATTAGCAAAATCAACAGGCAACCTGTCAACAAATGTTTGGCAGTCTTTTATAACAGGCAGAGGATGAAAAGAATCAGCGTGACATTTTTTAACTTTGTGATATCGTGACTACTGTCGCATTTGCGAATGCACATCGCAGTGGTACACAGTCAACTCGTTCTTTGGCGTCCTCGACAGTCAACTGCCAACAAAGTATTTAGCGACATTACTGCATATGAAAGACAGATCAATTTACCAATTAATTTTTCTATTTCTGGCTCTCCTAAAAGTCGCGTTGGTCAGAACCTATTGAAAAAAACAGTTAGAAGGGGTGGCCGGAGTTGTTCTGCGATGGTTTTCTACCACTACCAGTCCGCACAGCGTTTTCAGTCCTTTCAAACTACCGTGACAACAATGAATCCCGGAGAGTAGATTGCAGAGGTTACTTCAGTGAGGGGGATTGGAAGGATAAAGGGTGGAGCGGAGTAGATATTCAAGAGTGGTAATCATTTACTACCAGTCGGTGTCACGGCCGTGACATCCTCGACTGGGAGATAATAAGTTACGGAAGTCGCTGCGAATTCGGCGATCTAGAGTTGAGCAGAATCCCAGGAGGGTGACACATCCGAAAAACACGATTAAAACCACTTTTAAACTAGTTCGTTCAGCTTTAAAACCCATTCATGAATGCATTGAAGTAAATCGGTGAGGTTAGTTTGGATATAGGCTTCGATGGGGGGAAAGCCTAAGCAATAACGCAAAGGGATTATGAATAAAAAGACCACTTCGCAAGACCATTTTAATTCCACCTTTTTAATACAATCTTTGCAGCTCTTAGGAAAAAAAAATCGAAACTGGAAGGCAGCTGACACGAGAAACTGGACCACGTGGCGGCATGACTTGGGAGCAGCATGGATGGTCGACTTGACCACCTCGTTCTACTGAGAAGATTGCAGATGTCAACAACAAGGTCACCTGTGAATGCGATATCTCCAAGTTGAACCGAAACATGGGTTCCATTGACATAGAAAAACGCGGCCGGTAAGGTTACAATCTCCTATGACAATCCGCTCGACTTTGCTACCCGCGCTGGGGTGTTAGCCCTCTAAAGATACCTTTTGAAATGAAAATGCATGTGATCGCCGATTGTTTCTTTCCTCCCCAGTAGCAGGCTTGCTCCTTGTACGACTACTTCACTAGACCCGTCATCCATCAATCAGCTGTTCCACATGCTGACTGAATAATCAAAGGTGCAAGAGACTACTTGGACAAGTTAAGGGAACCACTATAGCCATGCCGGTGTGTATAAGAAGTAGGGTCGGCCTTGAGGCCTTTGCGCTACTCAAATGACTTACTTCAAAGCAACTGAGAGTCAAATTACTGTGATTGGGCTAAAGTCTTCTCTAGAAATGATTAAGTGCTGGTTTCACGCCTTTGTTAACACTCTGCCATCACTATCACCTGCCATTTCGATAGGCGGCATCTGCAACGGCCTGGCCTACGATAAGTCCACCAGCTTCTCTTGTACGAAGGGGGAGACTCGTGCAACTCGCAACAGAGAGTAGTGTCGACACCATTATTCCTCATTGGCCCAGTCTTACTGCTATACCTTTCACAATGCCACTACGAACAGGGTTTCATTTTAGAACTCTTTCCATTAGAAAAGCTCATAAGAACAATTTAATAACAGAGAGCTTAAAAGCTAATAGCTGCTAACGTTCTTGGAAAGCTGACATCAGCTGACGTAAGTGAGCCTCGTGCAGATATCTGACTCTAAGCCAAGATTTCGCTACATATCATGACTGCTCAAAAGGAATTTTTTTGTACTAAGGAAAAAGAAGCTTTCTAGCATTTTTTACCCTATTTCTACAGTTATGTCGTAAGGTAGGTCACAGGAAAGTGTACAGTATACACCTTCATCGCGGATAGCACCTCTTCATGCACCTGGAACATCGCAAACATCGAAGCATTTCGCCGAGCACACAGCGCATAGCACATGGATCGTATGAAGAGACATGGAGTTGGGAACTCACAAGGACCAAGAATATGGCCTACAAAGTTTCAAATTTCGATAGTCGAGGTAAAGATGCACGCATCAGATTAACACGGATTACCATATGACACAGACTGCGTCATCAAACTGACAAACGTCATCGAAGAAGGTTGACCAAACCAACAGACAAGTTGGCATTAAAAAGCTAATTAGTAAATTTAATGTAGACTGTGAAACTCTCATTTGAAATTCAGTGTTTTCGATCATGCAATGATTCATCCAACACCCGTAGCAAAGCGAGGTGTGCGCAATTCGCGAGGTCATCATTTCTAAATGCTGTCTTTTAAGCCACAAAAATAAATAATTTGATTTATTAAGTACTAACCTTAGCCTTCTTCATCCACCTACCCGTGAACGTTGGAGTATACAGCGAGCGAGAAAGTATGCTGCAGCCGATAGCAGGGCAAATCGTAAGTTCATTGATTTATTGATTTATTGGATTTTGATTTACCACACGACGTTAAAATCCCGTGCTTGTTCGTGTCCACTTAACAACTGAGGTGGTTTGCGCCGAGTTAAGGAGTGCAGGTCGCTTCATCACTTTACACGCGCATCTTGACACTTCACTGGGAAATCCGCAGAAGCGCTCCACTTCACTAAGGCAAATGGCCGACGGAAAGAATAAGCGATGCGACGAAGAGGCAGAGAACACAAAGTCAATGAATCGGTGCCTAATGGATTGTAGGTTATGCAATTTCATATTTAATCAAAATTTAAAACAAGAATTTTCCATGCATAAAACAAGGATCTTGCTTTTTAGGTCAAGGTAAAAATCCGAGTACAAGCAGAGACCATTGTGAAGCTAGTCCAAAAGAAGGTATTTATGAACTTTTGTTTGCACTTTTCTCAACTCATATTTTGTCCAACAGGGCTTACTAAGTAGATAAAAAGCGTTACTTCTAAGAGTTATATGGAGTCCATTTTTTAGTAAAATTTACGCTTAATTTAAAAGTCTTCCCCTTCTTTAGGCGAATGCTCAACAAATCCACCCATGGGCCAACCAGCGAACCCATCAAATCAAATAAATCCTTTTGAATCAATGCCTGGGTGCCCTACATCACAGACCGCCTATCCAATTAATGGTAGAAATTAGGCTTTTTTAACTTGTTATCGACTGAAGGAGTTACCTTTGAAGAGCTCATACTTATTGCCTCGGCTCTTACACTATAGATGGGAATAAATATTTAATTTTATAGAGTAGAAAACACTAAACAGATTGAAGTATGCTTTCTTTATAATTAAAAATTTATACAGTAGGAGTAATATTTAATTGTTAAGTGAAGGAAATCTAGTTTTTTTCATAGAACTTTGTCATTCTGTAACATGTAAATGTCTTACATGCTTATGATTTTTTTGACTAGAAAAGTCCTTTTTTAATTCAGGGAAAAACCTATCTAAAAATAACAGACCCTTTCAAGACAGTTTGATGTTCATCGCTGACATAATCCGGTCAGTAACAAATCCTTCAGGTCGAGGTAATTTTGCCCTACTTATGTGAGCATTGCCTACTCCAAATGAGGACATTATTTTCCGAGCCAGTTACAACACCATAAGGGATGTGACTGTAAATCCCTTATGTGCTTATTGCCTGATTTTAACATCTTGGATGGCAAAATGTTGTGTCTATGCGCAGATAATTATTGAGCCATTTAAAGTGATTTGTATCGATTACGGTCCATGCAAACGTCGGTGTTGACACCAAATTCGATTGACAAGCAGGGAAAACCTATGAAATTAATCATACTCTGCCACTTAGAAGGGCAATTATGACGTTGTTAGCCCATTTTCCACATTGCATTTCATTAGGTAAAGGTGTGTTTCAACAACTTCCTCTAGCAATTTGAAAAAGTTGTAATTCTCTACCAC